GGTAGGGTTGGGTTGGGTGGGTAGGAAGGTGAAGAAGGTAGCTAGTGTAGGGTGGGGTAATTTAAGGTCTGGTACACAAGGTATTGGGTGGGATAACATGGGTGGTAATTGGAAAAAGAATAAAGTAGGCCTTGATTCATGAGATTAACTCACCATATCTTTGAGAACCTTTTTCTGTAATTGTGCTATTTCCGCTTTTAATGATGTTTTCATCTTAATTAAATTCTTCTTCTGCATCTCTTCTAATTTTGTAAGTGCAACTCGGAATTGTCCATAGATATTCTCAGTTCTATTCAATCTGTAATAATCAAATACTATGTATGAATGCTTCTACTGGAGTTACACTTTTTATTTTCATATGCTAGAACATATTATTCTCAGAGACTGAAATACAGCAATTTCACCGCCTGACATCCATCACCGGTAAAACAAAAGCCAACTCTCTGGAAATGGTACTTTAGGCTACTTGTTGAGACTCTTCTGAACAGTGTAACAAGTCTACTTTTACATGTGCAACGTACATACCGGATACAATATATATAAATTTGGTTGCTCAGGATTACCTGTGCCATTTTTTTTATTTTAGCTGTTTTCACAGATGCTTCAACCAGCGTTCCACAGCAGCTCACGCAGAGCCTGAAGAAATGCATGGTACAGTACTACATGTCTAGAAATGAATATTTATGCTTAAGTATAGTTGGACAGTTTGAATCTAAACAGAATTTGGCAAAAATTTGATAGAAATCTACTTGCATCGCTGTGAAACATTACCTTGCCACTGTACAAACTGCATTAAGATTGAATAAATAAAGTGATTTAATTATCAAGATTTCAACAAAAGTACAAGATGAATTCAATATTCTTTGATGTTTACTCAACAACCAACATACAATCTTGGCATTGGTCATAATGTTTTATAGATTCACTCAACTGATTACCGGTACATGAACAGTATGCACAAACCAAGTTTTAACTCATTTAAGTAAACTCTAAACCTTAATAGACAAACTCACCAAGACAAGTAAAATTAAACATTAATTAGAAACCATTCTCAATGTTATTAATTATGCTACATGTCCTGAAGTAAAACAGTCAAACATTTAGCATAACTGATATTATGTTGCAAGTCTAAATATTGTATTTTAAATTGTTTCAAGACCTTGCCTAAATACTGCTCATATTTTAGACATTTTCAATAATGCCTAAGAGAGCTGGTTAAGATCTTTTTAAGACATTTTAAAGTGGGAATCATAGTAACCGTCAAGAAATTTGGTTTATGTGAAAGCCTGTCAATCCTCAACCTGTTCTATTCACCACAGTTTTAATTTAATTATCTGTAAACTTAGTTGAAATTTTTAACAAATGCAGTAAAGTGACCGAGGCATCAGTAGTCAATCACATCCTATCCTATAAAGGTGCTAAAAACTCTATCACAACAAAATCTACGAAAAAATTTGGCTATTTGTAAACAAGTACTGAGCCTGATATTCTGGTAAATAGTTGTTGCATTTGGTATTTGGCACTACTTCATAAGTCAAAAGCTACACATAAATATATCCTACATAATACAACCTTTGATGTTCAAGAGATGCGACATCTTACCTCACTTCAACAGATCTTCTGTGAGATTGTAACTTCTCATGTTGTTTCTTGAATAATTCCAGAAACTGTTCATCAGTTTCATTGAGGGTATCTACCAATCCTTCCAGTTCAACCATTTCATTCAGTATAACATCACTGAATTCATGGAATAACTGTTGTCTATGAAAATATGTGAAATGTACATATATTGTAATACTTGTATTGGATGCATTGATTGTGTAACATATAAAGTGCACTGTCACTCGCCTATAACTCGCCTATAACTCACCGATAACTCGCCGATAACTCGCCGATAACTCGCCCAAATCAAGCCAGGAGAGGTAATTTTATCCAATATAAAAAATGTTTGAAAGAATACTGATACATTTTGGAATGGTTGCTAAAATCTTTTTACTCTGAACAGCAGATTCTATTGTTTTTCTGTGTTAGATGTATAATACATGTAATAATATGAGGTTATTACGAGGATACCTCAAAGTATGCACAAAGACGGTACAGCAGAGGTTGATGCAATGGCGTACTGTGTGAGTGAATACTTTGAGGTATCCTCATAATAACTTTATTATTATACATCTTTTCTGTCCAAGGAAACATCATGGGAATGCCAAAATTTAAAAAGTTTAGAACAGAATCAGCAAACTTTTTTCTGTGGAGTCTGGTCAAACCCTGTGGCAACCATGTTTGTTTTTATTACTAGAGGATGCTTACATGAGTAATCATTCCATATTTGGAATTCGCATTTCCCTATATGGTAAGATGAAAAAACCCATAAAATACCGCAAAATTATGGCACTACAGTGACAGATGTATAATAAAATATATTATTTAATACAAGTGTTGTAGAAGTTGTTTTGAATCGATATCCAATCGTGGTGCAGTGCAAAGACTTAGGCATAAAATTAATTTGAAAACTATTTGATTTCAATTTAATTAGAAACTTTTAAATTAGTGCTTTAAACAGTTCTACATTTTTTGCAAATGTGCTGTCCAGGAGGATTCTGAATTGAATGTAGTTGGAAACTAATCCCTAAAGATGTGTAAGAAGACAGTCTTTACCTTGATTCATTAAGTCCTGTACATAAGCCAGACATCTGTCTCTTTGTTGCACTCAATGTCTTATTCACTATCTGTTCAATGTGGCTTGTTTTTTTCTGTTACAAAAAACACAAAACAATGAAATATAGCAAATATTAATTATTAAAATAAGATACCACAAAAACACACAATGCACTACATAAAAAAAGAAAACATAAGTTAGGTTAATCAAATTGTTTATTAATGTCTTGGATACATGTTTTGAAAGCCCTACTTCTCAAATAAGACATTTGCCAATAGTTAATTTTTCCTCAGCACCACAAACAATTTTATTTTTGGTAATAATTTATTTTATTCTTAATTTTCCAACTATACATATTCATACCAACAATTGGTCAGCTGAGGTGAGTTTCACTGCATATTTGTGTATCATTTGTACATAACAGCCGTGAAAACCTTAATTATTCCTTTGACCTAATAAAATACAGAACCATACAATCAATATAGTTTTGCTGAAAGAGAATTTAAATTTTCAAGAGAAAATGGCACCTATGTTCCAAGTTTCATTGAGACATGCTGCTAAGTTATATTAAATTGTTATGCAAATTAGATAATTAATTTTCACAGATGTTAACCCAATGCATCTGCATCATTATTATGCAAATGAGACCATTACTATGAATAGAAAACAACTAAAAATTAATTAGGTTTGTATATTATATCAGAGTACCCCCGGTACCGATATACCAAGTTTCATCAAAATCCAAACAGAGGTATTTGAGATATTGGTGGAACAGACAGACATATAGAAATGGTAACCGCAAAGACTCCTATTGTGTGCTTTGCACACAGAAGACTAAAATCAGATCATGAGTAACTTCATAAATACCTGCATTACACCTTGCAACTCAGATCCAAAGTCTTTTAGCATATTACAGACACCAAGTTCAATACTAGATACACCGGTATCAGAAATATCAGAACTACCAGTTTCAACACTCTCTTCTCTAATTGTATGAGCTAGATTGGGGACAGAATTTAAGAATGGGAATAATAGTGTGAAAACATATCGAACACGGCTAGTGTGCTGATCAACACTCTTTATTATTGCGCGATAATGAAAGCCTACATTTGCATGTAAATTCACTATTGCTTAAATATTGTCCTTATTGTCAAAATAATTATATCAACAATACAATTTTATTATACCTGGTGTGAGCGAGTTTAATCGGAATAATTTTCTTGGTCTTATATGTACATTCTGTTGCAGTTCCTCATTGCCATCATCCTCCGACATGTCATCTTCATCTTCCTCATCAACATCTTCTACTTCTTTATTCAGTAAATTAGCGTATTTACGTTTTAACTCTTTGATGGCTGTACTGCCTGGTCTAAAACTAGGACCTGTGTCACACAAGATTATACATTAATGTAACCACGACTTCTGTCGAGTTGCGCCAATGGGTGTTAGACCCATGGGGTTAATTTGTTGTTCTCAAAGGAGGATATTAGTGTAGGTGGCATACACATGATTGGGTTAAAATCACCTAGAGTAGTTCATTTTGTATTGTGAACGAGACCCTTATTTCTATTATTTAGTCAGCATTGAGTTGTATTAACCAGCACGTTTTTGTTTTGAAAGTTTTTCTGGTGTCAAGGATAATTTGCATAATTTATGTTGGTGACCTAGTTTTTGAGATATTATATTTGTCTTGTATGTATATTCCTAGGAGTAAGCAGTATTTCTTTTGTTCGTTATCATGCTATTTTGATAGGGAATTTTCTTGTGTTTTAAAATTTATGAGTGTGTTCTACTTTGATGCAGTATGGGCTGAACAGCGTGACTTTTGTTGACAAGTTGGTCTTGGAAAGTTGCTATGTGAGTGACGTCATGATTTCAACACGCGTTGTTTTTTTTAGAGGGTTTTGCTGCGCACCGCTAATGACTTTGTATTGTGTCAGCGCGTTGTTTTTTTGACCCATAGGTTGTATTATTTTATAGTACTATTATAATTTTAGATGATATAAATTTCGTAGTTAGGGTTTAAATATTTAGAGTTGCAGGGATTTTAGATCGGTCCCCCGGCCTTCTTGCAATTGGTACGAGCCTACCTAAGAGCGAGACGGAGGCAGGCGGTTGTTATGGCGGATGTTGTGAGCTGACGTGCGACAAGAAGTCTCCGAAACATTTTGAATATTTCTACATTTTTTACGGACTATGTGCTCGGAAAGTCAATAATCAAGCTGCAGAGATACTCAGCGTGGATGTGACAGAAATTCTGGATCATTTGAAGTTTTTC